ACTCTTTGCAACCCCATGGACTGTAGCACTCCAGGCTTCCCTGTCCATCACCAACTCCTGGAGCTTGCTCAAACTCATGTCCATTGAGTCAGTAATGCCATCCAACCATCTCATCCTCTGTCATCCCCTTCTCTTCTTGCCTTCAATCTTTCCTAGCATCAGGGTCTTTTCCAGTAAGTCAGCTCTTCGCATCAGGTGGTCAAAGTATTGGAGTTTCAGCTTAGCATCAGTCCTTTCAATGAATAGTCAGGACTGATTTCCTTTAGGATTGATTGGTTGGATCTCCTTGCAGTCTGCAAGACTCTCAAGAGTCTTCTCCAACACCACAGTTCAAAAGCATCAATTCTTCGGCACTCAGCTTTCTTAATAGTCCAACTCTCACATCCATACATGACCACTGGAAAAACCATAGCCTTGTCTAGACAGATGTAAATTATATTAAAATAATACTACTAAAATAATACTACTACTAAAATAGACTAAGAGAAGAAATTGAAGTGTATTGTCATAAAGTTTTTATGTGTGAAGTGATATATATAAAACACATTACTTGAAGGTAGACTATCATAAGTTAAAGATGAATACTCTGAACTGTAAAGCAACCATTTAAAAATAAAAACACAGAGGTATAATTAATAAGCCAATAAAAGAGAAAAAAATGGAATCTTAAAAATATGCAATTAAAAAAAATATGTAGTTAATCCAAAAGGGAGTAAAACATGAAAAAAGGGGGAGAAAGAATAGATGGAACAAATAGACAAAAAGAGCAAGATAGTAGATTTAAAGACAACCATTTGATAAACATCTATTCATTATAAAACTTATCAGAAACTTAAAAAAGAAGTTAACATCCTCAACCCCACAGAAGCACCTGTAAAAACTCTACAGTTCATATCATGCTTAGTGGTAAAAGATCATTCCATAATGTTGGGAACAAGGTGAGGAGTTCTGATCTTGCACTGGAGGCCACAGCCAGGACAACAAGGTAAGAAAGGAAGTGAGAGAAGGCAAAGGAGGGAAGGGAGGGAGGGAGCAGGAGAGGGGAAAGAGAGGAAACAATAGAGAAAGGAAAGAAGGAAGTAGGCAGGCAAAGCTTAGGAAGGAAAAAATAAAACAGTCTGTCGTCATGCCTGTCTACAAAGAAAATATCAAAGACTCAATTCAAAGAGATAGAAAAGGAATGATGGGCAGATTACCGGTCAAGAGATTTGATAAAATAGTCTGCCTTTGCCAAGGGCTTCTCCTTAGGGCTTCTCTCTAAAAGGTTTTTAAACATAGCAACTTTGGAAGGAAATATTTTCTAGATGCTATTGGATATACACTATTCACAGAGTGGGCAGAAGGATTTGTCTCAGCACTATTTGCTCTTATGTGGCTTCCAGGCCACTAAGCTTTGCCCCAATATTTCAACATGGGTGGAACTCAGAATGACATCCCCAATGTGATTCAGATTCTGCTCTTTTCCTCTGCTGGACACTGCAACTTCTAATAAATACCTTTAACTGCTATGAATAAAGTGGACCAAGAAAGAGGAAAAACAACTACAGAAAAAAATCATAGATACTGTTTTTCAGTCACTTCAGGAAGATGTTTTGTCTCACCACAAGCATTCATGTTGTTCTTCATATGTCTTACGGCCTCATGGTATACCAGTGGGACAGGCAGGAGTAGAGGGTCCAACACTCACAGAAACAGCCTTTCCCCAGACGCTCCCGAGAGAGACCAGAGCACGTTCTCATCCTGGAGAGACAGAAGCCGCGTCCACCATTCTCACCCTGGGGAACACCCTGTCTCCTTCCACCCTCTCTTCCAATTCACCACTGTGGATAACCCTGACTGTGAGCCCACCCCACCGCGCGATGAACGCCGCTGCACAGGTGGTTCCAGGCTTCCCGACACGGATCCCTTTGTGCTCTCTGGCAGCGACACCAGGTCTCTCTGTTTTGCTTTGCCTGCCGGGCAAGGAGAACAAATATTCTAACAGCAGTGCCCAGGCTGAGTTCTCTCTAGAACGCCTCACCATTTACTTAAACAACTTTATATATTTGTAGGCTCACATTTTATGTCATTTCATCTTTCAGAATATTTTGATTCAAAATTGAAAAACAATGATATTAATTCTGCCTCATATTGCATAGAGTATAAAAACATGAAAGCTAATCATAATTATTAAAAATGATTTTAATTATATAATGTTTATATAAAACTATATAATGTTTTCACTATGTGCTCAGTCACTCAGTCATATCTGACTCTTTGCAACCCCATGGACTGTGGCCTGCCAAGCTCCTCTGTCCATGGGGATTCTCCAGGTAAGAACACTGGAGTGGGTAGCCGTTCCCTCCTCCAGGGGATCTTCCCAACCCAGGGATGGAACCCAGGTCTCCCACATTGCAGAAGGATTCTTTACCAGCTGAGCCACAAGGGAAGCCCAAGTTATTTATTATAGGTTTGGGAAAATTTATGATGATATAACACAGAGAATGTTCAGGATTTAGGAGTTTAGGGTATAAAAGCACTTTAATTTAAACCTATGCTGACACTTAAAAGATTTATTTAAATTTATGGGCATAGTAGGANTTGGATGGCATCATTGACTCGATGGACATGGGTTTGGGTGGACTCCGGGAGTTGGTGATGGACAGGGAGGTCTGGTGTGCTGCAGTTCATGGGGTCACAAAGAGTCAGACATGACTGAGCAACTGAACAGAACTGAAACTCAATAAAAAAGAAAAAAATCAAAGACTCAAAAAGTAAATCTACAAAATATTAACATAGTCCAATGAGTATAAGCCATAAAATTAGGATTACTCATGTAATGAAGATAAATAATATCCACCCTACAGTGAGGTTAAAAGTAATTCACCTTACTGTGTCTACCATATATGAAAAAGGTAAAACTCAAAACAAACACAAAGGATCTCAGGAAGGCTGTGACTCTCCTAATGATTATTAACTGAGTACCAATGTTGAGTACCTGAAAACAGTAACTCACTTGTTAAGCAACTCATTTCCAAGTACCGACTTTGCATTCAGGGATTCTTTATATAATATCTCAATTCTCAGAATAACACCATGAGAAAGATTTTAATGTGGCCTTCACAGCTCTCGAGAGATCAAGCATGGGCACCTGCAGGTCCCCATGAACGGTCAGAATGGAGGTGAACCTACTGCACAGTGCTGTGCGGGGACGGTGTGCCTGCGTCTGACCCAGGATGGAGTCAACCAGGTAATGTTCCACAGGATGTAACTAAGTTGGGATTTGAACAAGAAAACAAAGTTTGAAAGGTGAGCAAACGGAGTGGATGCTGCTAATAAATGTAGGAAAGCCAGAGTATCCAATTCTATTTTTTCCATTTTCCTTCTTCATTGGAAAATGAGCATAAAAATAGAACAGTCCACAATAGACAAGACTAACAGGAAAACAAAAACCAAAAAACAGTGAGAACAAACTTAAATCATGCTATATTTCAGGCACAATATTAAAAGATTAATATATTTAGCAGCATGGTGATTTCAAGAAAGTACTTTAACCACTCCAAGTCTGCTTCCCCACTTAAAAAAGGAAGACAATAAGAAGGCTAACCTATCAGGATGTTGTGAGATTAAATATGATAAATACAAAAACAGCATTCGACAGATAAACACAACAGCTACTGTCTTTACTATTATTATTATTTGCTCAGGTGTCAAGTAAGTTGTAGAAGAGATGAGTATCTTGGGTGAAGATTGAATAGATGAAACCTTATGTCTCACAACAAAATTCTAAGAAAAAGAAAATAGCTCAGACTCTATGTTTGCTACACAATGTTAAACCTAAATTAGGTTACATTATTAAAGGCTGTCATTCCAAACACCTGCAGAGGAGAAAAAGCTTTAAATGATTTAATGTGTATCGGAGGGGAAACTACAAGAAATAACCCCCTAAAAAATTAGTTAAGTTGGGACCACTGACAAACATTTCTAAAATGCACTGTTTTTACAAAATGTCATTTTTTTGTACTGTCTATTTGCACAGTGACGCTAGACAGATAAGTTAAAGCTGTGCTATAAATTGATGCAATTACGATGTTTTTGGCTGCAAATAACAGAAAGCTCAAAGTTTAAAGAAATGGCTTTACTAATAAAGATATTTATTACCTCACATAAACAGCACCCTAAAAGTGGGATGATAAATTCAAGGGTAGTTTAGTTCAGAAGCTTTCAAGATGGTCAGGCACCCAAGTTCTGTCTGCTTTATTACCTTCAACAGAGTTTTCATTCTCATGCTTACCCCTCCTGGCTATAGTTACATATACAACAGGGACATATAAGACCAGCAGAACTGCTGGTACATCTTTATAAAGATGTACTGGGCACATCTTTATACAGTAGAAAAGTCTTTTCCAGAAGTTCCATATCCCAAACAGGTTTTTCCCTCAAGTCTCATTAGTCAGGTATGTCAGGATATGTCTATTTTTCATTGCTAACCAAACACTGACAAGCATGAAATTATCACCATTAGACCCATTATCATCACCACCTGTGCTGAGGCTTTCCTATTCTGTAACACAGGAGAAAGCAAACTGAATCAGGGGTCCAGCAGAAGAAAACAATGAGGGGGGAAATGTGATTGTAAGATTGAAACAAACATTCTCATAATTAAAAGGGAAATGGGAACAGTTTTTGTTGTAACCACAAGTTAAAAAAACAAATAAATGAAACCAAATCAAAAGTGACAAATCAACAAGACTGATTATATCTGATTTTGTACCACATAGTTCAGGCTTCGTACTGCCTAAATAGTCCATAGCACTCATTTTCACACCTAATTATATGTTGCTTCATCATATCTGAATATTTCCTATCTTATTTCTTTAACTGGAGGGTAAACTTCTTATAGATTAGAGACCTAATTTTTTACATAACTTTCAATGCTAAAAATATAAGAAACAGCAAACACCAACACTTATGAAAAGCTAACATATATTTATATCCTGTAATAATTTCCCTTCTCATTAAACCTAGCAGATAGAACAAATATTCATCTCTGCCCTTTTTCAAAATTTAACCAAAATGACAGTAAAGAACTTTAAAAGGGATCAACCCACAAGAATAATGAGAATACAACAGGAGGTATTAACTGACAAGAAACTCGAATGACATTTTGGAAGCTGGAAAGAGAACGGACATGTTGCAGTCGACTTAGTAGAGCAGAGAAAGTTGAAACCCAGGGTTGCAGAAGGGGTGGAAAGTGGGAGAGAAAGGCAGTGAGAAGTAAGCCAAAGGAACAGCACTATTCCAGAAAGACTCAGTAACTAGAGGTACCACAACCAGGTCATCAGGAGGATGTGTACGGTGGGGCATGTTACAAAGTTCAGTTTTCCCCAAAAACTCTATAAAATGAAACAAAGAAAATTACGTTCAAAGCTTATTATGTTGTTGTTCCTATTAACTATGCTTAAGTCTATTCTATATTAGATAAGAAAGCTGAAATGCTAACACTTCAAATTTCAGCATTACATTCTAATCAAGTCTATCATGTGTAATAAAACATATGCCGAAGGGCCCATGGAATATAGTCCCAGGTGCCCACAGCACACTACTCTCACTGTTTTCAGATATTGCACAATCATTCTGCTAAGGCTTACCTTCAATTTCCCTTCAGTCTGACTTTCTTCTTTTAAATTCATACTGATGACTGATGGCTAACATAATAAATATTTTATCTTTCGACACCCTTCCCTCAAGAAGACTATCTCTTTTTGAAAATGAGGCACTGTTAGACACCTGGACTCTAAATTTAGTTCTTAACTCTACTGTCCACAGTAAAGGCAATGGCTTTTTAATGTTTTTACACTGCCATAAAGTATTTACTAAAATATGCTATTCAAACTTATATAGATTAAAAAATCACCATTAAAACTAAACTAGAAGTCCTAGAGATAGAATGATCAAGATTATGGACTAAAACATAGCTCAGTGTAAGTCTAACTGCTTAGCTTCAGACATCACCTATACAGTAAATTATAATTATTCTGATATCATCTAAAAGTTTCTCAAAAAGTAAAATTTTCAGAAAATACTAGAGGAAAAATGTTCTGGCAGAAAAAGATCTATATAACTCTAGAATAATTTTTTTCTGAAGTCTGGCACAGCTAATTAAATCAGTAACAGACATGTTTCTATCCCCACCCACCTTTCGCCCAGGGTTCTGGCCTTTTCATCGATTATTGGGTGGTATATGTGGCTAGGGTCTGAGGGTAATGACAGCAGGCATGTTTGTGTAGAATAAATACAAGAAAGGGGCAATTTGCCAGAGGGAAAAATGTCAAAGGCAAAATAGGGCAATGAAAGAAAGAAAGAATCTTAAAAAGACCATAGTCCACTTATTTCTTCCTTTCAAAATCAATTCATTTGCCAAATACTTATCATCTTGTTAACTGAACACTTCAACATAAGCTCAGGACTTTGAAACAGACCTTATCAAACCTCCCACCCAGATATGATTGATCAAAAGTAAACAACTCCATTTCCATATTGTTACAGTGCTAAAAGAACAAGCCTTCCTTATTAATCAAAGCATGGAACCTTTATTTCTGCTCATGACAAGAATAACCAGTTTACCAGACAACCCCTTCATCCTTAAAAGTCATAGTACTTATCATGGAGAAAGAAAAAAGAAACTAAAAGATTATGAAATGTTAATCTTGAATTCTATTCGTATTTGCATTGCAATTTTCACCTTATTTTTCTTGGCACTTATTTTCTAAACTTTTACAAAAGACTTAAGTACTAGAAAGATAGTTGGTGTCCATGGGAGAAAAAGCTGGCACTCTGCTACGTATGTAAGGTACACAGTTGAGGGTGATTAATCCTGTTTATACTGAAAGGCTTAACGACCACTTCCGCCTCCCACCACTCCCAACCAGAAAACATTTAATGGAGGACCTCACAACTTAAAATTTGTACCGGGGGAGGTTCTCCTGAGAGATCAAATACCACTGATTTGTCCCACAGCAAATAAGACAACACAACCTGCCAAATCCATGCTCAGTACACTGTAAACTTCATGTTCCCATAAATGCCACAACCACTTCATCAGACCCTAGCCAGGCCTGATTCTATGCAACCTCCACCACAGTCCCCGACGTTAGTTCTTCCCCCTACCTACCTCCTAAGCTGACCTCTAGCTAATATTTGGGCTTTGGGGTTTCCTCAAAGGGAAGCCATGAAGCTGGGAAATTCTCTCATATCAAACAATGATTTACCTCTTTAATCCAATAGCACTTGAAGAGGACAGGCATTACTGATGAACACACCCTCACAGTTCAGAAAACTTGCCACTGGGTGAATGAAATTAAGGCAAGCCCTTAGTGGAAATCCATCACCTTCACATTATAGTCAACTATCAAACAAATTCTAATTATTAACTGCTTAATTCATCACTATGTACAACTAAAAAGGCATAGATTCTATTCTTATATCTTTTCATTAAAAAAGGAATAATATGAGAGGAATATTTGTAGAACAGAAAAAATGAACAATGCTCTTAAATCAACAGGAGCTAGACGTTTTAGTAAAGTCTCTTATCCGGTATTTTCAATGTAGGTGAAATGCACAACAAATATAAATCAGAATATGCAACTGTTTCCTTAGTAGAAAAAGAAAAAAATGGAAAAAAAAGAAAGAAAATGAAAAAACTCACCTTCTCAATATTTATCTGGTGCTTTCTTAAGCTCTCCAGATCTGTTGGAATTACTATCTTAGTAAATTTCTGGATAGCTGGTTCAAGACGCCGTAATTTCACTTTTTCTTCATTTCAGACATCCTAAAAAAATGCTGTGTCTCTCCTACTTGCAACAATTATCTTCTCCACTCACGTAGAAAAACCTAAAAGGGAAATATTTAAGAATTTAAAAAATTAATTTCCATTATTTTCAAAAACCAACAATTAGGTAATTTTATAATATATTCTGAACACATACTCAACTTGATCCTGAACCTGAGTGACTTGTTAACAAACTTTAAAGTTTTTTATATTTATTTATATTAATTAGAGGATAATTACTTTACACTATTGTAATGGCCTCTGCCATACATCACATGACGCAGCCACAGGCATACCTGTGTCCCCTCCCTCCTGAACCCCCTTCCCACCCCATCCCTCCTAAAGTCAGGTATATTCCCTTTAGAATAGAATGTTTAGGATCTAGGAAACAGAGAATAAAACAAAATCAATGATCATCTCACTCAGAGTTAGCTACTCTTTCCATTTTTCCTCCCTCCCATCCCCCTATTCTTTCCATTTTGATGTATGTCTTTCCAGGTCTTTTTAATGTAATGGGTGCATATATTTAAATAACTTTTTTCAGAAAACCAGAAGCATACTGTTCTAGTCTTCATCACCCAATGTATCTTTTACAGTGAATAATGTTTTCTAAACAGGTGTCAACTTGCAAAATTGGAAGAAAAAATTTTATTCTTAACATTTCTGCTGTATCAAACTCTATTTCCAATTTATATATCTAATTATACACTTGAAATATACAATGCAACTCTTCTCATTGATATTCTTTAAACTGCCTCTTCCCTTTCTTACAGAGTAATTAGCATTTCCCCTTTCTTACAGAGTAATTAGCATTGTCTATAATCAATACAAGTAACCAGTGACAGAGATGGAGTAAGAACCCAATATTCCGGAGAGTACAATCAAAAGCTCCTTCTAATTCACCAGTAGTTTTTCTACCAGTGTTGCAGAGAGTCTAGGGTTATGTCTTTGGGGTCAGGGTAGGTGATGATAAAAGCTGTCAAGTGGGCAGGCTCCAGGACCCCACAACTGCTTCAGCTTCAGAAAATTTTGTTTCATTAATTTCACAAATTTGAACTTATTCAATTTTATGTAAATAAAGGTCTCCACTGCCTAAGCAAGCTTGAAAACCACTCCTGTACATCATGATTTCACGCTATCTAATTAGCCACAACCTCTCCTATATTAAAAATAAATAAGTTGACTGTGTTAATCCCATTGTGTTATGGTATCTTAGACTGGGGTGCATAGAGATAAGGGTTCAGGACTTTGAGGAGTCACTGAATCTTTACAAAAAACTACGACTATTTTTTAATTATTTCAGAAGATAAGTCAATTGCTTTCATGAAATTATCAAAACACTCTATTACTCCACAAACATTAAAAATTATTAAATAATGTTTCTCTCTTTGAAGTGCTGGTTATACAAATCATCTTATCCACCAGAAACTCGGTCTTTACATTTGATCTAAGCTTGAAAGCAGAAAAGGAAAATCTCCAGCCACCACAAATAAAGAATCTAACAGCTACAGTGGTTAGTGGACATTACAGTGCACAGGAAAGTTCACTGCCAAAAGAGTTGGTCAACAGACCCAACCAAATGGGAAAACTCATAGCTCAGGGTCTAGAGATAATAAAGTAATCTAAAAATGAAATAAAAATTGGTACATTTTAAAATAAAAATGTAAAGAAAGAAACAGAATTTTTTTAAAAATTAGATAATATTATGAAACACTAACAGACCAATCTGAAAATAAACCAAGTAAAAATTCTACAAATAAAAACCTCCAAAGGTGGGTTAAACAGTAAATTTTGTAGCTGAAAAGAGAACTATTGGCTGTAAGCTATCAGTCAGAACAAAGGAAAAAGAAGATAAGCAACATAAAGGATAAAATGAGATGCTCAATAACAAGGAGTCACATTCCAGTAGTCATGTATGCATGTGAGAGTTGGAGTATAAAGAAAGCTGAGCGCCGAAGAATTGATGCTTTTGAACTGTGGTGTTGGAGAAGACTCCTGAGAGTCCCTTGGACTGCAAGGAGATCCAACCAGTCCCTCCTGAAGGAAATGAGTCCTGGGTGTTCATTGGAAGGACTGATGCTGAAGCTGAAACTCCCATACTTTGACCACTTGATGTGAAGAACCAACTCACTGGGAAAGACCCTGATGCTGGGAAAGAGTGAAGGCTGGAGGAGAAGGGGACGACAGAGGATGAGATGGTTGGATGGCATCACCGACTCGATGGATATGAGTCTGAGTAGGCCCCAGGAGTTGGTGATGGACAGGGAAGCCTGGCGTACTGCAGTCCATGGGGTCGCAAAGAGTCAGACACGACTGAGCGACTGAACTGAACTGAAAAGGCACTATTCAAAGAGAATATGCTAAGAATTAAGATGTAAAATTTCAAATTGAAAATGCATATAAGCACCAAGTAGCATTAAAAAAAACAAATTTATCAAAATACACAGATGGGAAATTTCAGAACATTATGGAAAAAGAAAAACCACTTTAAAAAGCAAAGCAGATATAAAAGACAAACTAAAACAACAAAAGCAGCAAACTTCATCACAGCAACGGAGCAAAAGACAGAAATATACTCAAAGTGGTGATTTGATATATATCCAGATTAATTATTACTTAGAAGTGAAAGTATAATCATTTTCAGGCCTACAAAGAGCCCTTTATTAAAGAACTACTAAAAGGCATGATTTAATAATAAAGAAAATAAACCCAAAGGAACGTAATGGCAAAGAGCAAAACAATAAAGTATACTGTAACCGGGTGAACAAAGGAAGGTATGAATCAAAGAAGAAAAAAAAGATTTATTTTGAACAACCTGATTAAATATAATAAAAATGTTTCCATGTAATTATTTTTCTATAGTTTTTTTATAGCAGCATAGTATCACATTATATAGATGTTCAATGATTTAATCATCTAATGTTGGCTATTTAGGATGTTTCCAATTTCCCCCTATTATAAACTATACCACAGTGTAATTACCCTCCTTACATATAAGTCCATACAACCATCTATGATTATTTCTTTAAAATAAATACCTGGAAGTAGAATTAACAGGTAGACACATTTTTTAAGGCTTTTAATATTAAAAGTCCCAAAAAAGGTTGTGCCTATTTGCAGTCCCACTAGCAACATACCTGGGGAAGGACATATCAAAGTGTCCACTTATCTGGATTAAAGACTTAAAGACCTGAAGCCATAAAGGTCCCAGAAGAAAACATAGACAGTACACCCTTTGACACTGGTCTTAGCAATGTTTTTAGATCTTTCTCCTCAGGAAAGGGCAACAAAAGCAAACGAACAAACAGGAGTACAGCAAACTAAAAAGCTTTCTCAGTGAAGGAGCCCATCAACAAAACAAAAAGGTATCCTGAGAGTCCCTTGGACTGCAAGGAGATCCAACCAGTCCCTCCTGAAGGAAATGAGTCCTGGGTGTTCATTGGAAGGACTGATGCTGAAGCTGAAACTCCCATACTTTGACCACTTGATGTGAAGAACCAACTCACTGGGAAAGACCCTGATGCTGGGAAAGAGTGAAGGCTGGAGGAGAAGGGGACGACAGAGGATGAGATGGTTGGATGGCATCACCGACTCGATGGATATGAGTCTGAGTAGGCCCCAGGAGTTGGTGATGGACAGGGAAGCCTGGCGTACTGCAGTCCATGGGGTCGCAAAGAGTCAGACACGACTGAGCGACTGAACTGAACTGAAAAGGCACTATTCAAAGAGAATATGCTAAGAATTAAGATGTAAAATTTCAAATTGAAAATGCATATAAGCACCAAGTAGCATTAAAAAAAACAAATTTATCAAAATACACAGATGGGAAATTTCAGAACATTATGGAAAAAGAAAAACCACTTTAAAAAGCAAAGCAGATATAAAAGACAAACTAAAACAACAAAAGCAGCAAACTTCATCACAGCAACGGAGCAAAAGACAGAAATATCCTCAAAGTGGTGATTTGATATATATCTAGATTAATTATTACTTAGAAGTGAAAGTATAATCATTTTCAGGCCTACAAAGACCCCTTTATTAAAGAACTACTAAAAGGCATGATTTAATAATAAAGAAAATAAACCCAAAGGAACTTAATGGCAAAGAGCAAAACAATAAAGTATACTGTTACTGGGTGAACAAAGGAAGGTATGAATCAAAGAAGAAAAAAAAGATTTATTTTGAACAACCTGATAATATAATAAAAATGTTTCCATGTAATTATTTTTCTATAGTTTTTTATAGCAGCATAGTATCACATTATACAGATGTTCAATGATTTAATCATCTAATGTTGGCTATTTAGGATGTTTCCAATTTCCCCCTATTATAAACTATACCACAGTGTAATTACCCTCCTTACATATAAGTCCATACAACCATCTATGATTATTTCTTTAAAATAAATACCTGGAAGTAGAATTAACAGGTAGACACATTTTTTAAGGCTTTTAATATTAAAAGTCCCAAAAAAGGTTGTGCCTATTTGCAGTCCCACTAGCAACATACCTGGGGAAGGACATATCAAAGTGTCCACTTATCTGGATTAAAGACTTAAAGACCTGAAGCCATAAAGGTCCCAGAAGAAAACATAGACAGTACACCCTTTGACACTGGTCTTAGCAATGTTTTTAGATCTTTCTCCTCAGGAAAGGGCAACAAAAGCAAACGAACAAACAGGAGTACAGCAAACTAAAAAGCTTTCTCAGTGAAGGAGCCCATCAACAAAACAAAAAGGTGACCTACTAAATGAGAAAAGGTATTTGCAAATAATGTATCTGATAAGGCATTAACATCCAAAATATAAAAAGTGAAATAGAAATTGCTCAGTCGTGTCCGACGCTTTGCAACCCCATGGACTGTAGCCTACCAGGCTCCTCTGTCCATGGAATTTTAATTCACACAACTCAATATCAAAAAATAATCCAATTAAAAAATTGGTAGAGGATCTAAACAGACGTTTTTTCCTAGGAAAGACATGCAGATGGGAAATAGACACATGAAAAGATTGTCAGTATCACTAATCATCAGGGAAAAGTTAGTCAAAACCACCCCACACCTGTCAAAATGACCATCATCAAAAACGACAAAAAATAATGAATGCTGGTTGTTGGCAAGGATGTGGGAAAAAGGGAACCCTTATGCACTGTGGTGGGAATATAAATTGGTGCAACCACTGCAGAAAACAGCATGGAAGTTACTCAAAAAATTAAAAATACAACTGTCATATGATTTAGCAATTCTAATTCTCAATATTTAAAAAAAAAAAACAATAATTCTGGGTATTTATCTGAAGAAAATAAAAACAGTCACTGAAAAGATATACATGCACCCCTATGTTCATAGAGCATTATTCACATTAGCAAGATATGGAAGCAACCATTAAGTGTTTGAAGATAGATGAATGGCTAAAGAAGATGTTATACACACACACACACACACACACACACACACAATGGACTATTACTCAGCCACAAAAAAGAATGAAATCTTGCCACTCGCAACAACATGGATGAACCTAGAGAGTATTCTGTTAAGTGAAATAAGTCAGAGAAAGACCAATATCATATGACTTCACAAATACCTCAAATTTTAAAAACAAAACAGAACAGAAACAGATCCACAGATACAGAGAACAAACTGGTGGTCACCAAAAAGTAGGCAGTGTGGTGGGTGAAATGGGTGAAATTTCCAGTTATAAATTCATAGGGATGAAGGTACAGCACAGGGAATTTGGTCAATAATACTGCAATGACCTTGCAGGATGACAGATGGTTACTAAACTTATCATGATGTTAAATTCATAATGGATACGACTGTTGAATCATTATGTTGTATACCAGAAACAAATACAGTATTTTATGACAACTATACTTCAATTAAAAAAATTTTTAAATGTCCATTTATCCGTACTCCAACCAATACCTCATATTATCATTCTTCTTAGACATTCAACTGGTGACAAAAAATGGTGTCTCCTTATTGTTTTACTTTACATTCTTTAAATTACTAATAAGATTGATTTACTATTTGCATGTCTTCTTTCATCAACTGCCTGCTTGTGCTATAGGGAATGTCTTTCTCTTACTATATATAACACATAATAGTCTCATAAATTATCTATTACTTGTCTAACATCGTTTCCTAGTTTATCACATTGCCTCTTGTGTTTTCTTCCACTATGCATATTATTTAAGAAGCTATCTTTATATATACTATTACTCCTATCANATATATAACACATAATAGTCTCATAAATTATCTATTACTTGTCTAACATCGTTTCCTAGTTTATCACATTGCCTCTTGTGTTTTCTTCCACTATGCATATTATTTAAGAAGCTATCTTTATATATACTATTACTCCTATCAAAATGGTTTTGAAAGTACCTGGTGTTCAAACTGGTATTTCAGTGCTAACGGAACTAAAACAGGTCTTCACATGTCTCTCCTATACTACTTCTCATCCTATCACTCTAGTCAAACAGCACAATATGCATGGCATATTACAAGTGTCTTATTTGCCCTTCCTTTAGTCTCTTTCCCCTCTCCAATTTTCCCCCATAGATTACCACCAATTAATATATCTAAAACACCAAAGACAACATGCTCCTCCTTTGGACAAACACTTCCAAGAGTTCCGTTACCTGGGCAAGAAAATACAATGTTCAAAAGTAATCCACCCACGCTACTGAAATATCACCCAATCTCTACTTTTGGCTTTGGAAGGTACTCCCTCTGTCTAGTCACTCTTTTATAGCCCATCTGCCTCTCAACTGTATGTAGCATTTGAGATACAACTCAAATGATTCTGCTTTCTCTTCCATTAATGAGTTTTCGGTGTACTTGACAAACCCCAACTATTGACTATTTGGCTTATCTTCACTGTTCCCCTATGCTATGATGACAGCTTTCTTTTTTGAATTCAAAAAGTGCTATTTCCAGATCAGAGTACATGACTTTGCCCCTTAGCATTTTGTGCTGAAGGAAAAACCTGCTGCCTCATAAGGGCCATCTTTCAGGGCAGACATTCTAGCCCAAGAGCTCCCCAAGAGATTTTTCCATCTCCTGGTTTTCTTCTAGAGAGTATTTTTTTCTTCTCTCCACCACTTCCATTTCTATAAAAGTATAATAAAATGTCTATATAAAACTAAGAAGAGAACATAACATTTAAACAACTGCATAAGGTATGGTGTTACTGCAATAAAACTGTCCAACAGTGACTCTGATCACAAAGTAGCTCAAATAACATTTATAAGCTATTAAGGGAAGGTTTTAATTCAATACAAAATGTGGTTTAAGAGTGTGACTAAATAACGAGTTGAAAATAGTTTCAGCATTTCTTGATTTTTCAGTCAAAAAACTGGGAAATATTTATGGTATAATTCAAACACAGGATATAAAATATATTTACATTAACATCACAAATATTTAAAATATGCCTTGAAAAAAGCTAGTGGGAACACAAAAGTGACTAATTTCCCAAACTTCTGCAGAGTTGTATTACTTTTGACTTTTTTTTTAAAGTGTAATGGAATATGTGGGGCAACAATTGTATTATGACAATAATGGTGGATACACAATTAAAATACATTTATAAAAACTTACAGAACTGTATACCATAAAAGGTGAAATTTTGTACATTAAAAAACAAAAACAAAATGTGGGGGAACGCACAATGAAATACAAACTATAAAAAATAAACTGTATTACAAATGAACATAACCACACTGAAAGAAGTGGTGAAAGAAAATAATATAGGTAACTTTGGAAAACAGATGCTGAACACTAGTGTCTAGATATGAGATACTGGGCTTCCTAGGTGGCACTAGTAGTAAAGAATCTGCCTGCCAATGCAGAAGTTGTCAGAGTCGCAGGTTCAGTACCTGGGTCAAGAAGATCCCTGGAGGAGGGCATGGCAACCCACTCTGGTATTTTTGCCTGTAGAATCCCATGGACAGAGGAGCCTGGTGGGCTACAGTCCATAGGGTCACAAAGAGTTGGACACGAGTGAAGTGACTTAGCACAGCACAGCACAAACTGGATAACACAAGGTTAAGGACAAAAAAAAAAACTACACACAACTCTACTGTTCTCTAGTTAGTAAATTTGTTTCTCATAGGACTATGGGTTAGGAATTCTGAACTAACAATGCATTATGTGTATTACTAGGATTGAACAAATAAAAAAAATATTTTGTAGAACACAAAAGCCAGATTTCTCACTGTTGAAGAGAGAAATTACAAATGAGGGGCAAGACTATAATGAACAATGTGGTATTTTGCTAGAAATAGAATATCAGAATAAACTCCAGTTTAAAAACATACATATAAAAAATACATATATACAGACATATATATATGTATATATATATTACAAAATACAAATCTTTGTAGATGCATGGGTGTATATGTTTGTGTGTGTGTGTATATATATATATATGCCTGTATCTCCATGACATATACAGATATACATTTGACCTTTGAACAATATGGATTTGAACTGCAAGGGTCTACCCACAGTGGAATTTTTTCAATAAATATTACATGATCTACAGCTACTTGAATCCGCAGATATAGAACTGCAGATACAAAAAGTCAACTATGGAACCTGAGTGGCTTCAGATTTTGGTGACAGCAGATTTCTGCTGCAGGTCCTGGAACCATTCTCTTGGATACTAAGGGATGACTGTATAGCTAGCTAGAAATATACATATTTATACATATAAAATGGGCTTCCTTAGGTGGCACTAGTGGTAAAAAAAAAAATATGTCTACCAATGCAAGAGACACAGGAAATGCTGGTTTGATACCTGGGTCAGGAAGATCCCCTAGAGGAGTAAATGGCAACCCACCCCAGTATTCTTGCTTGGAGAATCCCATGGACAGAAGAGTCTGGTGGGCCACAGTCTATAGGGTTGCAAGATGTTGGACATGACTGAGGGACTCAGCGTGCATATACATAAAATACACACACACACACCTTCCTAGATGTCTTCTGCCAGGTACTAGAAGCAATGATATGCCAGTAGCAATGAGCACACCTAGAGCCCAGATCCTTTGGTGTTTAAATAGTACTCTCCAAAAAAGAAACCAGGGGTCTTTGGAGAACTGGTGGATTCCAGGATAAGGAAAACGTTAAGAAAAGCCTGGAGCATCTTATGATGCCAAAAAGCAAGGCAGTTTTTAAAAGAAAAGGAGGGGGGGAATGAGAGTCTATTAAAAGGGCACAGGAAGCAATCTGAAAAAAACTTCCAATGGACGAAAGTGGAACAACTTGAGACAAAATAAATAACACAAGTGTAGGAAAATAACCAATAGAAAATAAATGAGTCCATACTGATACAAAAAATTAATAAATAAATAGGATAAAGGGGCAGCTCTTCCTCACCGAAAAATTCCAATTAATAAATTAAGAAGGAATGGGGGAAACAAAACANGGACGAAAGTGGAACAACTTGAGACAAAATAAATAACACAAGTGTAGGAAAATAACCAATAGAAAATAAATGAGTCCATACTGATACAAAAAATTAATAAATAAATAGGATAAAGGGGCAGCTCTTCCTCACCAAAAAATTCCAATTAATAAATTAAGAAGGAATGGGGGAAACAAAATATCACAGTAATAATTACTGAAGGCAAGATCCATTAATGGATGCTAAAATCAGCAAATTAAAATCTGAGAGGAAACAGGATATCTGAATGGTTTAAAAGTTCTACCCCAAGATACTAATTCAATACACAGGGGAAAATAGTTATTCTACATTAGAGAATCCCAGCAGATATCACCTTAATCAAGTGATCAACAGTAGTGTCATTTCATGCACTCCATTACGATAAACTATTGAGAAGGGCAAATATACTTCTGTGGTAACAACAAAAATATACAACTTTAATCTCATTCTGAGAAAACATCAGACAAAGCCCAACTGAAGGACACGCTACAAATAACTGACCAGGACTCCTCAAAAGTGCAATGGTCATGAAAGACAGGAAAAGACTTCAAAGTTGTCACAGATTGGAGACGACTAAGGAGGCATGCCAACTAAATGCAACGTAGGATCTTAGATTGGATTCTGAAACAGAAAAAGGCCGTTAGTATAAAAAGTAATGAAGTCTGAAGAAAGTTGGTGGTTTGGTTAACAGTGTTGTACCGAAATTTCTTCCTTTTGGTAACTAACTGTATTATAGTTACATAAGATGTTAACATTAAAGGAAACTGTAGACAACTCAGATACTTTAGTAACTTTTCTGTAATTGTAAAATTATTTTAAAGTAAAAAGTCTTTTAAAATAATATGTGAACTGTTTCACATAAGACAGGTCAAACATTTAGAAGTCAAAGAACTGCAACCGTATTCAGGGCAGTTAACACTTGGTGAGGTGGGGGTTCCAGGTGCTTTACAAACTTAACCTTGAGTGCTTACAACTATTACCAGCTGAGTATCATACTACTCGATAAGGAAAAAGTACTGGGATAGTAACCAAATTACTTAAGGTTATTTATAAGCGAAAAGTCCCGTTTCTCAGGAAAAGTCCAAAATTGCAGGCAATGCCCCCTTCCAAAAAAAGTGATGGACACCTTCCCACATTTGCCCACACCGGTGGCACCAAATTCCCTCAAGCAGGTCGCCTAGTGTTTCTGACTGGGGGAAGGGGTACTGACTTCGGAAGGAAAAGTCAAAGGCCTTGGACCGACCTCCCGTACGGTCTGTTTCCTGAGCCTCCGATTCCGAATTTTATAAAGGGTCGGGGGTGACTTAGACGTGGGGCTTTCTGCGACCCACCGCCCTCTCGTCGGTCTGGCTGACAGGAGGCTGCGCCCACCTCGCGCCCCAGGACCTCCCCTCACTTCCCTCGAAATGTATAGCCTTTTACATTTTGCAATCTTTTTCTGTCTCATTTTCGGCTCTTCTAGGAATTTTACCGGTGGGCTGGCCGGATGTTGTTTCCTCTTTACACATACAGAAACACATACAAAGCTCAGAGAGGGTGTACCTTCTCCCTGTCGCTCTTCCCCCAACCCCCCAAGCCCCAAACCCTCTGAGGTGGATAGGGTACAAGTTTAAATGTAAAAGGGACAGAAACTGAAGTTCAGACTAGTCGTGTTTTTCCTCCCAAATAGGTTAGGCCCTTAATGCCGACGTTCTTGTTCCAGTTTTATAGATGATGAGACTGAGGCGCAACAAAGAGTTTCCAGTGACTCACTCCAGTTCAGCCAGTTAGTGGCAGAGTCGGAACTTCAACTGGGTTTCCTAATTTCCTTCTCAAGTTCTTCCAGTTATACCAGCTGCTACCAATGAACAAGCAGATGGTCAGCTTTGAAGCCCTGTCCAGTTCACAGGTCCTCCTCCCTGGATGGCCTGACTTCCCGATCGAGCCTTTTCAATATGTATTTGAATATCCAAATGAGTTGCTCAGAATGCTGATTATATTGTCCTCAGAAGCCATAGCTTAGGAAACAGCTTTTAGGATATTCCAGTGGAGTGAGGATAGAGGTCGAAATTGGGGACCAAGGACTATTAGGGCTCTGTAAGAATTGCCTTGAAAGGCATTTCCACAATAAAGCAGAAAATCTGCTAAGCATTTCAGGGTTTTTTTGTGGGTATCATGAATGCTGATTTTTGTTGTTGTTGTTGTTGTTTTTACTCTAGGAATGAGGTGCTTATAAGATTTTAATTCTAAAGAGAAAAAGTACTAGGCAATACCATGGGAAAGTGTTTTCATTTGTTTTTCATGCAAGGGTCAGTTAAACAAGAGCTGCTGAAGTGAAGGTCATTTGAGTTAAGCTCTGCAACAGCTACCTCAAACACACTAGGGAGATGTGACCCAAGGATTGTAAACTTGAGCCTGGCCGTCCAGGTTTTTATGTGTATGTTTGCTATGAGTCAGGTATGTCAGGGTAGCTGGATAGAACTGTCTTATAATTACATTTATTTATTTTTAATTGAAGGATAATTGCTCTATAATAATGTGTTAGTTTCTGCCGAACATCAACATGAATCAGCCACGCATATACCTATGTCCCCTCTTCTGGAACCTCTCTCCCACCTCCCTCTCCATCCACCCCTCTAGGTTGTTGCAGAGCACAGGTTTGAATTCCCTGAGCCACACAGCAAATTCCCATGGGCTGTTTTACATATGGTAATGTACATGTTTCCATTTTACTCTCCACACGTTCCACCTTCTCCTTCCTCTGCCCCGCCCCGTGTCTGTCAGTCTGTCTCTGTCTGTGTCTCCATTGCTGCCCTACAGATAGGCTCATCAGCACGTCTTTCTAGATTCCGTGTTATTCAGTCGCCCAGTCGTGTCCAGCTCTTTGCGACCCCATGGACTGAAGCATGCCAGGCCTCTCTGTCCCTCACCATCCCTGAAGTTTGCCCAAGTTCATGTCGATTGCATTGGTGATGCCCCCCAGCCATCTCATCCTCTGATGCCCTCTTCTCCTTCTGTCCTCAACCTTTCCCAGCATCAGGGACTTTTCCAGTGAGTCAGCTGTTCGCATCAGATGACCAAAATACTGGAGTTTCAGCATCAGTCCTTCCAACAAGTATTCAGGGCTGATTTCCCTCAAGGTTGACTGGTTTGATTCCCTTGCTGTCCAAGGGACTCTCAGGAGTCTTCTCCAGATTCCATATGTATGTGTTAATATACAATATTTGTTTTTCTTGGACGGAACGTTTTACTCTAACAGTGTGTTAGCTTGACTTATGATCTTTGAATGTTTAGACATATGGTGTGTGGGCTCTTTTTGTAGTCTCGCCTGGACCCTGAAGTTGTTAGGAGCAGGCCCTGCTGCTAGCCAACATTTTCCTGAGGTCTTATAGACCAGGAAGGACAAACAAAACAAAATAGCCCTAAATAAATGGAAAAGAAGAAAAATATTCTTTTTAGGTATTATGATTGCTTACTCGGAAAACCCAAGGAATTAATTGAAATAGGTAAAGTGGCTAGAAAAATAGCTTTCCTATATAACAATCACCTATTAAAAGATGTAATGAGAGAAAAGATCAAATAGCAAAATTTAGTTTGTATTTGTAAGGAATTACAGGAGCTATTTGAAGAATTAATAGCAGCTAAATGGGGTAAGAGTGAAGGGAAGGATTTCCAAAAGGCGTGAGGAAACTCGGGGGGTAATGGATATGTTCCTTATCTTGTTTGTGGTACTGGTTGCACGGGTGTATACATGTGCTGAAACTTACCATATTGTCCACTTTATATGTGTGTTTACGGCTTGTCAACTATACCTGAATAAGGCTATTTCTTGAGGCAAGGTGTGTATTTTCATTTACTTACAGCCTAGCACCTTTCTTGGAACAGACTAAGGAAACAATGTATACACACTGTGTGAAGTAAGATCCCCTGGAGAAGGAGATGGCAACCCACTCCAGTATTCCTGCCTGGAAAATCCCATGGACAGAGGAACCTGGGGGGCTGCAGTCTGTGGGGTCACAAAAAGTCGGACACGACTTAGCGTCTAAACCACCACCACATAATGTTTCCAGTGTCAGAAAGCAAGTACGTGGAGAAACTGAGAATCAAACTCAGATTGGCACAGTCACAGAGACCTCCTCGGTTATCTTCCTAGCCCACTCCTCTTCTGGGCACTGCTTCTCCCCAAGCCCAGATCTGCAGGCCATCAGCAGAGCTGGCAGTCACTTTATACAGGTGACCATATGCTCCTGACCATAGCAGACTGGTCCAGGGACAGACCCCCGACCCAAACTGGAACAATAAGAATCTGGAATTGGGACTAGGATTCTAGCTTCACTATAGTTTGTTTCTTGAATGGAGAAAATGCTCACAGAGCTCCTGGTGGCTGTGTTTTTGACTCCACAGGCTGCTGAATCAGAGGAAGCCATGCTGCTCATAGAGTCCATTTAAAATTGTGGAGAGATGATTGTATGTATACCCTAGGCCATGTTGTTTAAAAAGATTTTTTTAACTGTAGGTCATGTGCAAAAAAAATTTGAAGTCATTACCTTCACTAAGTTTTTTCCCTAGCCATGAGCTATGGAAATATCTACTGCAGTTCTAAATGTATTCTACTTCTTGGTGCATTCTAACATTCCAACCATCTTGTGAACTGAGATGAAAAAAGGTTAAAAATAAAGTGATAATAGTGGCTACCTTTAGTGTTAGACTGGGGATTCCCTCACAGTTCAGTTGGTAAAGAATCCGCCTGCAATGCAGGAGACCCCGGTTGGATTCCTGGGTCGGGAAGATCCCCTGGAGAAGGGACAGGCTACCCACTCCAGTATTCTTGGGCTTCCCTTGTGGCTCAGCTGGGAAAGAATCCCCCTGCAATGTGGGAGACCTGGGTTTGATCCCTGGGTCAGGAAAATACCCTAGAGAAGGGAAAGGCTACCCACTCCAATATTCTGGCCTGGAGAATTCCATGGACTATAATACAGTCCATGGGGTCGTGAAGAGTCAGAAATGACTGAGCGACTTTCATTTTCACTTAGCATGAAATTAGCTGGGAGAGAACGTAAGTAAGTTTCTGGGGTGCTGGAAAGGTTCTGTATATTGATCTGTTGTGAGTACATGTGTGAAAATTCATCACCTAAGATGTGTGTATTTTGTGTGAGTTATACCACAATAAAATAGAAAGAGCTAGCAATCTTTGATTTAAAACAAACAAAAAGTAGTCAAAGATACCTCCTTAATATCACTTCTATTACCTGTCTTTGAAATAGTGGTGAAATAGCAGCAGTAATCCCTACCTTCTTTAGAGATCTTCACCCCTTAGAATATAAAATGTAAAAGCCCCAAAAGAGATTGAAAGACAGGTGAGTGACAATGATAAGGTACACAAAAAAGAGACAGTTTGCAGCACATTCAAATTTCTAGTTACAGCTCAATCCTGAGGCTTAGTTTAACCCCACTTAGGTCTGGTTACAGCCCCAAGCCTCCTAATCCCCTGCCCCACTGCAGCTTTCATGCCTTTCATGTCTTTTTTTTTTTCTTTAATTGCTTAAGCGAGCTCAAGTGAACTACTTTCAAACCAGAGAGTTCTGTTGTAAACACAGAATTCCATTTGTTTCTATTATCTTATAATATCATCTTAAACTTATAGACAGTGTTCACCAGCTTGAGTACTTAAATCTTTTCACTTTCTGCTTTAGCATCT